CCAGCTTCTGGAAAAGAAATGTATAAAATGTGTGTTAAATCTTTAAACAAAATGTTTTTAAATAATAGAGTGGATACTCCCTGGCGTAATATTTTACATTTGGGAGAGGGCGAGTACCCTGAATGGAGAGCGTTGTACAAGTCACCATTGACTAAAAAAATTGGGGATCTGCAGTGGAGAATTTTACATGGTGCAGTGGCAGTTAATGCCTTTATCTCAGTTTTAAATCCTGATGTTGGTCATGATTGCCCCTTCTGTCTGCAGAGAGAAACTGTATTTCACGCATTTATGCAATGTTCTAGACTTGAGCCTTTGTTTACTGTTTTACAGAATTTATTTTTGGGTTTTGGTGAGACTTTTTCTATTAGGATTTTTATTTGTGGGTTTAAATATGTTCAGAGAAAACGATTTAAATGTCAGCTTTTGAATTTTTTATTAGGTCAAGCTAAAATGGCTATCTATGGTACTAGGAAACACAAAATTGAACGAAACATGAGTTATAGTTTATTGGCAGTTTTTTTTAATTCAGTAAAATCTAGAATTCTCATTGATTTTCGTTATTTTAAAGCTATGGATGATCTTCTTTCTTTTGACTTGATCTGGTCTAATGGTGGAGCTTTGTGTGAGGTTTTTGAAAACACTTTGGTTTTTGGCCCAAATTTTGCTTAATTGTCTGTAAATTGACTTGATTGTCTGGATAATGTGTTAATATTTTAACAGTCAATAGCAAATACTTAAACTAATAACAAAACATACTTACAGTAGCTGATTCAGAAGTGCCAGATTGTCATAGCAAAGTCAGAATTACCTCCTCTCCTAGGTTCACGAAACGGTCGTCCATAAAATGCATTGCTGTTCTGTTGTAAGTAATCTTAAAGATTCCTAAATGCATCTACTTCCGGAAGGAAGTCTTAACTTTGATAAAGAATATCTCTTTGGTTTTGAGACTTTAGTCTTTGCAACTTCAGGGATCTTATCTATGCACAATCAGCTTGTAACACTCCAAAGAGAAAGGAAAACTTGAAATCGCATCATATGACCCCTTTAAGAGAAACTCAAAAAGACTGAAACGGAGTACTTTTTTTGGGGTATGAAATACTTTCAAGAAAAGAAATATTAAGACTGGGGTTTAAGAGGTTTGACAAACATACTTAAAATAAAGAAAATTATTTTCCCAAGTTCTGGTTTTGGCTTGAGGACGATTCTGACAAAACTATTTTCTGAACTCTTTTTAAAGCTGAATGTATGTGTCTTTTCAAAAAGGACACTTTGGAGACTACAAAGGGACGATTCTGACAAAACTATATATTTTTGAACTCTTTTTAAAGCTGAATGCATGTGTCTTTTCAAAAAGGACACTTTGGAGACTACAAAAGGACATCTCCAAATAATCCGCGCCAGGCGCCACTCACATTGCTTAATTTTGAAATGTAAGTGCACTGTGTTCTCTGTCGCCACCTTGCGGCAGACGACAACACGACACACCTACAAAACAACATCATGACAATACTGCACTAATGAACAGAATCACTTATATTTATTTTAATCTGAACTGGCTGCGCCCCACAGGATGATGCAATGCTCGAGGTATTTGATATGTAGGAACTTTTTTTGTTCCAACGGTTATAGTTCATATTTCTTATTCAGTAGTTCAATACTGTCAATTAAAAGTATTTGCATGCAGTACCACAAATAACTGTGATAATATTAACCTATAAACATACTAATAACAAGCTAATATCATAGTAAAAGTGTATCAGAAAAAAAATATTATGTTTTATATTTTATTTTTGCATTGACTCGGTACCAATTTAAGTGTATAGGCTAATTTAGGCTTATTATATAGTAATAGTGGTGTTGATACAAAAAAAATCAGCATTCTGCTTAATATAGTGGTGCCGATACGAACATTTCTATAAATGCAGAAAAGCCTCCATAATCTGTTTGGACAAATTACATTTTTGTCAATCATTGCAAAATTACATTTGAGAAGTGAATATCACACTATAACACAAAAGAAGCTTATATGAAATAATAAATATATATATATATACATGTCCAACAAAGTGCAAATCATTGACAGATGTTTGACATGTTCGCTCTGCTCTGACATCTTGACGGCGCTCTTTCACTGCGCATGCGCATACGAGCGCCGCTCTCCTTACCGCGCATGCGCAGCGAACTGAGCTTCTCGTCGCAAATGTCAGCGACACGGACAGACACCGACAGACTAGACTCTCTCAGCGGTTCAGTGTGAGGACGAGAAATGAACGATTTCTACAGCTGTGACGTTCATTATCAATAAAAAAAAAAAACAAGCTTAAAGCGGAAGGAATTGACGCAGACATGGAGCAGGAGTTTGAGGACATAGACTCAGAGGGCCGCTGGCAGAACCTTTATTTAGTAAGTAAAGCTAATACAGCTAGCATGCTAATGAGCCACGCAATCTACATTTAGCCGAGAGAGAAATGTCTTTTTATCTCCTTGTGTCTTTACAGACTTTAATTCCGTGTGCTTTCACTGTTCTCCTTTTGACTGTTGTTGAAATTGGATAAAATGAAAGTGAAGCTGGGATGTTATTGTGGTAGTTCTGTTGAAAACTCCAGTGTTGTGAGTGAAACTGTAACTGTGCCTCAAAACCGAGTGAACCAACTACATAGAAAGCATGTTTGGGCATTGTAGTCTGTTTAACGTTAACTTTTTCATTATTATACTTATTGTTTTGTCATAACAACAGAAAGCACATTGACATAGTCTAAATTGAACAGCATGTAGCCTGAGATCGAAATCGTAATGTATCGTAACTGCTTACAGTAAACAACATTTTAACGTGACATTAATGGCCAAAAAGGGTGATTTTGAAGGCAACACACTAGGTTTTGGGACAGACTTCTTATGACAACAGTGCAACACATTCCCAGCTGTTCGCTATTTCTGACTGACAAGTTTAATTACTATAAACAGAAACTGTTACGTTTTCCTATTATCGCTGACTAAATGTCGTCCTAACCACTAAAAACAACAGGACAGCATTACAACTTTACTGCAGTCTTCTTTACATTTTGTATCATACACATTAAACAGCGTGCACTTAAAAAGTATTAAATGTAAAAAAATATTGTGTAATATATATAACTTGTTTGTTTGCTGGTTTTTATTGTATTTGTTATACATGTATTTTTTGAATAGTTTTTGCCATGAAAATAGCCTAAGGTGCTGACATGGCATTAAATAACAATATACTACTACTTAAAAAGTATTAAAGTCTATTAAATTGTTTTCAAAGCTTTTACTCTTATAGTTCTAAATAAGCATGTATTTATAGGCTTCATTCAAAATTGTGTTGAGTGCTGAGTGAGTTTGTCTGTAACTAAATAAACAACATGTAGCTTCCTTGATTTATGTTTCCAGTAATATTACGTTACTACTTCTGGAAGCTGTTCAGTCGCAACTGACATGACCAGCTCATTTCTTTAAAATGTGTTTTTCCTGTCCTGTGTTTGCAGACATGGGCATGGGCTCGGGCGGTTAACTGAAATAAAGCATAATGAATCAGTAATGACCTGATTTAACTGTTGTTTTGAAGCTCTTTTCCAGGAAATACTCGATGTTTGAATGTGTTTCTTTTCCAGGAAATACGCAACCAATCACATGAATGTGCTTTCAAAGTGGCCAAGTATCCAGATAATCGCAATCGGAACAGATACAGAGATGTGAGCCCGTGTAAGTAACGTCCGATTAGGATTCATCTCTTGTCATTGTAATGCAACTGGCCTGTAATGTTGCGTTTGACATTGTTTAACTTTTTCCAAACATATCAGTTGACCACAGTCGGGTGAAATTAGAAAACACAGAAAATGACTACATCAATGCCAGCCTGGTGGTGATGGAAGAAGCCCAGAGAAGATACATACTTACCCAGGTGAGCGGGTCCTTAAAATGACATAAGTGCAGTTCGAAAGGGTTTCATTATTTCCAATTTCATTAAAATGATCATTTTTAAGAGGTCTTAAATTTAGGGACAGAAAAACATGAATCACGATATGGCCTAATGTGATTATTAAACTTAATAAGGCTTTGATCGAATAAAATAAATGTGAGTGTTGCGAGTTCAAAGTCAAAATGCGGTTCTGTTGCACATTCTACAGGCCTGTCAGTTCAGAGTTGTTCACAATCATTTTTTTCTGGATGTTATTGGTGTTTTGTTTGCACAGTAAGCTGTATCTGAAATTTAATACGAAGTAAACATTAGTAGCTTCTCTCTTCCCATCTCATGAAGGAAGAAAGAACATTTTTAATACATTCAATGTATATATTTTTACTAGCACAGTAATCTGTTTATAGCCTTTCTTTAAAGGGTTAGTTCACCCAAAAATGAAAATTAGCCCACAAATTACTCACCCTCAAGTCATCCTAGGTGTATATGACTTTCTTCTTTCAGACGAATCCAGTCGGAGTTATATAAAAAATTGTCTTTGATCTTTCAAGCTGTTTAATGCCACTCAGCGGGTGTTGCAGTGCATCAGTCCAAAATAAGTTAAATAAAAAGCGCCCATCCATAATAAAAAGTGTCTCACATGGCTCGGGGGTGTGAACAAAGGCCTCCTGTAGCAAATCAATGCTTTTTGTAAGAAAAATATCCATTTTCAAAAAGTAATAATCACTTTAATGTAGCTTGCGCTCACTGTTGTACACTGGAAGCAGTTCCGGGCGGATAACGTATGAGGTCGGCTTAGAAGTGACGAACACGGAAGCGCAGCGGAGAGATCAAAACAAAACACCGGTCACTTATTAGAAGTACAAAACGAGGATTTGTAAAGAAGAATGTCGGAGGATTTCGATATAAGCCACGAGGAGACTGGTTTTGCTTTGCTAAAGTAAGGAAACATTGCTTCCTTTGCTCCTGTTGTGGGCTAATTTTCATTTTTGGGTGAACTAACCCTTTAAACACATTATTATTGCATCATCAAAATCCATTGTTGATCGAATTCTAAATTGTATTTATTGATATATTAGTACATAAATCAGTTTCAATACGTATGTACATATTGTGTAAAAATTTAGTCTTTTAAAAAGTTTTAGAAAGTCTTACGTCTGATTTTAAAAACTGCAGAAACTGCAAAAAATTTATAATTTGGTGCATTTCGTGCTGTTTATGAGAATGCGTGGAAAAACAGCTTGACGCCAACACTATGACACTAGCTCTCATATGAATATGAGGAATCGGGGGAAGAAACAGTCATAGGACTTCAATAAATATTTTAATTGTTTTCAGAGCTAGAAAGGTTTTGTTTTGACGTGTGACTAAGATGCCTTAAGCAGGCATTTTTTGTCTGAAGTTATTTTCAGTGGACTAATTCCAGGGACGGTCCCCTTATAGAAACCTGTGGTGAAATGGCTTTGCTCAGGCACACAGAACAGGATTGTAAGCAACTTAGCAGCTTTTAGTAAAACCTTTATCAGCACCATAAAGTTACCTTCGCTCCATCTCTGGCAGTTACATTACAGAGATGTTACTACAGGATGATGTAGGCAGCTGGTAGGTTTTACAAATGTCTATTACAGCTTAGTTGTGTGGGTTGCATTTCGAAGGTCACACGCTCTCAAAAACATTAGTCAGCCATTTGAGATGCAGTTTTGGTTTGATATTTTTCAACAATTGTGTAGGTGTGCTAGACTTTTTGGCATACATGATTTTTGCATAGGTAACTACTAGAGATGGTGCGAGACATGTTTTTCAAAATCAACCAGTGTTTACTCAATAACTAGTCGGCTCATCTGTCTTACGAAAGCTCTGAAAACTTAGTAGGGAGTCGGGTTCAAATTTCCTAGGGAGCTATATTACATAAGTTGTTTATTGTGGCCCATCCCAACTAATTCTTCACTTTTGTGTGTGTGTGTGTGTGTGTGTTTCTGTATTGTCAGGGTCCTCTGAGAAACACCTGTGGTCACTTTTGGCTGATGATCTGGGAGCAGAAGACCAAAGCTGTTATAATGCTCAACAGAGTAATAGAGAAAGGCTCGGTAGGCATCATTGATCCAAACCTTTTCTCCTTAAAAGCACCACTCTAAGAGCTTTCAGCCTGCACACTCATTCATACTACAATGAAATGTAAAGTCTGTGTCTTAGTTCATATTACAGAGCTCAGCAGTGCCTTAGGGAGTCTATGTAAGTAGCATATCATTAAAGAACTAATATATGTGTAGAAGTGCAGTGTTGTTCTTGAGAACTATTGAAAATAGTTAATTTAATTTAAATAAAACTTAAAATAACATACATATTAGATGGGGAAAACTTCCATAATAATAAACATAGAATTACTCAAACTGCTTGAAAGTGCTAAAATTACTCAAACTAAAGCTGAAATAAAGCTAAATAGAAATATAAAAAAAAGAATAAAAATAAAGTACTTTGTGAATTGATGTGAATAAATGAAATTTAAAAATAAAAGCGAATTCAAATAATTAAAACAAATACATAAATGCAGTTTATATATTTTCTTATGAACATGATTTTATGACTGTGTTTTAAATTCAAAAATGATATTTGTCACGGGTATTTTCCCTTTTTAAAATAAATTTGAAAATCTTATCATCATTTATCATTGACCCAGTTATCATTCATCAGCATATTTGGTGACAAATGCCATTAGTGGGTGTAACTGAAACTGTATGGGTAAAAAAAACATTTTAGACAGTTAAATTAAAATAACCAACCAGTGTTTTCACACAGTCATATGTTTTTGGACATTGTAGACTGACCCTCTTATTTGTAGTAAAGTCATAAGACTATCACAGAACATAAGTAAAGCATCATATGACTCTATGAATGATCTTTGTTTTCTAAATTTTAATATTATGCACTGACCTCAGCACAGTCAATGCAGGCTGTTGTATCTAAATTTATAACATCTTTACCAGCCGTTGGGTTTTAATACAACATTTCAGGAAAGATCAGGAAGTTGTTAGCTTTTACAAATGAGTTTTAAACAAAGGAAATACATTTTTTGTTTTACTCCTCATTATTTATACACATACCTTACTGCAGGAAAAGTGTGCACAATATTGGCCGACACAAGAAGAACGAGAGATGTCGTTCCGTGACACCCGCTTTGTGGTAACACTAGTGTCAGAGGACGTAAAGTCATATTACACCACCAGAGTGCTGGAACTCCAGAATGCAAATGTAAGTTTCACACATTGACCACTGAAAGTCACGTTATTGCTCACAGAATGCCATCTAATGTCTTCTCATGCAGATTTTAATTGCAATCCTATGCTGAAGCGATATTAATATTATCTACAATTCTTCTTGATTTATTTTTTAATTATTATTAATTTATCCACTTAGACGGGGGAGACGAGACAGATCTATCACTTTCACTATACCACATGGCCTGACTTTGGTGTCCCAGAATCCCCAGCCAGCTTCCTGAATTTCCTGTTTAAGGTGCGGGAGTCGGGCTCACTTGGGATGGACCAAGGTCCAGCAGTGGTCCACTGCAGTGCAGGAATCGGCCGATCGGGAACGTTCTCTCTGGTCGACACTTGTCTCGTTTTGGTGAGTTGGATCACTAGGAATAAATACAATAATGCGTTTTTCTTCTATCATAGCAATTTTCGGTTTTGCTATGGACTGTAGGTCACTGAAAGTCTGTCTTTTAGTTATATGGAGACAAAAAAGACAATATAATTACTTCCTAAGCTTTTTGTAATGTCTGATTTTAAGCATTTTAGCCTTTATATCAACATCCAGTCAAGTGTGTTCAAAGTTAAGATTGGTAATATTATTAAATATTGAGTGTTTCCAAAAAAGTAAACTGGCTGGGGCAAACATTAATGAGACAGCGATATCACTACAGTCTCAAGTGATTAGACTGCATATACCCAGCAGTGATGCCACATCATGAGTTACACTTGTGTTATCATGAGGTTTAGCGCTTATGATTTTTTTTCCTGTTTGTCACCCACTCAGACTTGGAGGTAATTAACAACTGCTTTTCTTTTCTGCTATGACTGATGTGTTCAGATGGACAAAAGGAAAGACCCACTGGCGGTGGACATCAGAAAGATTCTCCTAGACATGAGGAAGTATCGGATGGGTTTGATTCAGACCCCCGACCAGCTGCGTTTCTCATACATGGCTGTGCTGGAAGGTGCCAAGTACATTATGGGAGACTCATCTGTGCAGGCATGTCATCACCAGAGTATTTTCAACAGAATTATTATTAACCAAACCCTGGACTAGACGTACTGCATTTGTGTTTATGCTGAAGATATTGATTTGGTTATTTATGTGTGTGCAGAAACAGTGGCGAGAGCTCTCCAGAGAGGACCAAGAGCCCCTGTCCGAGTCTCCCCCGCCGCCACAGCCTCCCAAATGCACAGAACGCTTCAACGGCAGCAAGCCATCTCATCTGGAGGACGGGATGGACCCGAAGACAGGAAAGAAGACAGGCCTGGAGACCCCCAATAAAGAATCAGACAGAGATGCTGGAACAAAGTATGTAGCAAGACACTATATGCGTTAAATTTGGCATTTCCAAAAGTGCATGTGGCCAGTAAGGAATCAGCTTTCATCAAGCATGATTTCAGATGCTGGATTTAGTTGCCAAATGAATTCCAGCTGCCACTGACTGGCACAAACATCGCTACTATGTTAAGACTGTGTCTTAAGAACTAGTCTGACCAACTAGCACTTAACCAAGGGGTGATCAGTCTTACTTTTCAAATTCAGATTAGGCCAGTTTGCGTTTTATGTAAATGACTATAAAAAGTAATGACAAGTCTTCAAAACAAATTAGAGGACTTACTTGTAAGACTAGTCTAAGCAGTTTATGCAACCGGTCACAGGATTATTTTATTACAGCATTTGTTTAATGTTTTAAAACGGTTGGATTACTGATTTGCTTCTAGAATGAGATGAATCTCAATGAAATGAGTGTCAATTTGTCATATTACACCATACAAAATAGACTAAGAAATATCATGTAGTTTTAAGAAAAGAAGGCATATTTACATTTTTGCATTGTTGAGTGTTTGTTTTTTTTACCACACATTTTAAACAAACAACTCATTACATTGATTTTTTTTAAATACATGGTGGTATTACTGAAACATATGCAAATTTAAATGTGTATTACAGTAATCTTGTTTTACTGTAAGAATATATAAAACAATATTTTTTAGAATAAAAGCTACAATATCTAGAGGCATTATGATAATGAAAATTTGGGAAGAAATGTGCTTAACTGACAAGAAAATAATGTCACCATGCAAAACATCTAAATGGTCCTAAAAAGACCTTGATTTTTAGTTTTTTTATGTAAAATATTTTTTCTTATTGTTTTATTATTTCCTTTTGATTTTGGGGTTAAATGTTGCAATGAGATTCACCCAATTTGTGTCATTAATAGATTTCCATAGTGTTTGCTTATCAAGGCTAACACCATGTCTTAACCATCTGCACCTTGAAGTCTTATCTCTTCCATGTTAATCTGAGGTTTTGTCCTAACAAACCACAGAAGCAACATGCAACAAGGCATTCTGTCACTTGCTTTGTTTCTGTCACTTTGTTTCATTTTTTGTTTCTGTTTGGGCAGAGTTTTGCATTTAGTGATGACAAATAGGAAATTTACTTTTTTACTGGAAATGAGACCTTGTTAGAACTATGTGTTAGAGTATTCGATTCTCAGCTTATATACACTTTTTGTTTCTTTTTCTCCAGTGCTCGCAAAAGACAAAGAGATGAGAAAATGTCCAACCCCACGCAGAAGACTCAGAAGCAGACAAAACCCAGGATCAACGACCCTGATAAGAAAAGAAAAAGGTGAAACTGTCTGGATGGAATGTGTGTTTTTTTTTTTCATTGTGTTCTACTCCTCATTGACACAATGAATCATTTCAACATGTCTGTTCATGTGTGTGTAGTGTCGTATAAAACCACAGATGCCTCAACCCACTCAGTTCTCATAATGTCACTTCGCGTTTAGTATCTGAGATGTTCGTGCCTCACTACTGTATAGTTACTATTTAGTCTTTGGGCCATTTAGAGATCAAGCCATTTGCAGACTCGTGTCATCAGGGTATACAGGGGTTGGACAAAATAATGTGAACACCTGGGAAATAGGCAATATTTCTTTATTAAAGTGTTTTTCTGTCATTTGCATGTAATACAGCTTTAAACCTTAGAATAGATTCATACAACTTCTGAATAGTCTCCATTTGAATGTTGTCTATAAAAACATCTTCCTGCTGTTGAAAGAGGGAATGGGCTTCTCACTCAACTCCAAAAATAATCCACTGTGGTTTGACAATATTTAAGTTAGCTGATTGTCAGGCAATTTGTCTGGTTATAGCAGATATTGAAGTTCATCTTTGTGCTACAAAACAGTCTAGGTTTTATTCATGACTCCATATTTTTTGCATTTTATCAGTGGTGTCTGTGAATAAGTATGAGCAGCTGCAGCTCTTTCACGGATGTTGGGTTTGCGAAGTTCTCTGTCATCAGTTTTTGTGGAAACGGTCTTTGAAGTGAATGTTAAGGTTTGCTATCACTTTGCTGATGAAGTCTTGTCATGCTTTGTGTACGCAGTCATAATTGTATAGACTGTTGTTCCTAAAATACCAAACGGTCGGGCTGTTAAGGCTACAGATGCTCCTGCTAAACGGGTTCCCATGGTTTGTCCTGTTTGGAAGTCTGACAAGTCACCCATTTTATCCACGGCTTGTACGAAATACCTCAACACAGCTTATTTTACAACCTAGAAAATATAGACAACGAAAAGATAATCACAACATTTGTCTTTTCACTGTAACCTGCACAAATGACATTAAGCCCTATAATAATTGGATCTTCTTCACATTATTTTGTCCAACCACTATACTAGTGTTTCTTGCTTTGCTCAGACTGTTGCATTGTGGGTCAGTTATATCAGATGATTTAACAGTCCCTCCCGAGGTAGTGCAGTTACACCAGCGAGGATCAGTTTAGTTTTTTTTTTTTAATTTGAGCATCAATTTCTTGCACCTTTATAATGTCTGTGTGTTGGATTCAACTGGCATCACTGATAGTAATGCACTGTTTTCAAGCGGCTTTATTGATGAAATTTCAGTGTCACATAACGTTACATTCAACTAAGCAAGGCCATTCAGTCTTGATAGCTTGATAGTTAGCTAGAAAAAAATAACTATACAGAGGAGCATTTTGCTATATATTATACAGTCATGGTCAGAATTATTGGCACCCTTGGTAAATATGATCAAAGAAGGCTGTGAAAATAAATCTGCATTGTTAATCATTTTGATCTTTTATTTAAAAAATTCACATAAATCTAACCTTTCATTGGAGAATAAGAATTTAAAATGGGGGAAAATATCATTATGACATAAATGTTTTTCTCTAATACACATTGGACACAATTAACGGCACCCTTTTTATTTTATTTGTTGATTAATAAACTTGATTGATTAATTGATTATTAAATAAACTTTGTTTAAATGAAATCTAAATGCTAAATGAAACCTTTAATTCTGGTGCATCACTGATCACTAGCTGGGTTTCCATCACCCTGCTTTTATGCGCATTTTGAAGTATCGCGTCAGAATCGAGTGATGGAAACGCTGAATTTCGAATTCTGTCATCAAAGTATGAGGTGCAAGTAATTTATTATATAGGAAAATTATTATATTCAGTAGCTTTTCCTACTTTTCTTAGTGATGTATAGTGCCAGTTTATCAGGAAGTGATGATTTTGTTCTCTTTGACTCGTTGAATGGAAACGGTGCTTGTTCGCAAATGTTTTGTGCGATATTCCAATTTTGCGCATAAGTTAAATTCGCAACTTTGGATGGAAACCGGCTACTGACAATACCGTACTATTATCTTTAGTAATAATCTATGAATATAATAAAATTTATATTTTGTCCAGTATAATGGCAGATAATTATTTTGTATACGTTTACAGTATCCCCCATCACAAGTGATCTTAATTGGTGCATGTGAAAGACAGAGAGGGTGAGATTTCAGAAAACAGTCCGTAGGTGTGACACCCCTGATCTAAATCGAGTTGCTTTGAGTTGGTTAGTGGGATGCTGATGCAGTCAGACTGAGAGTGATCATCACTCTGATGGCCTATTTTAGAGCTTTTTAGAAGATTTTTTGCATTGTGACATTTTTCATGACAAGCAGATTTTTCCCCTATATGCTCATTGCTGTATACAGTGATTTCTTTAAAAAAAAAAATTCAGTAAAAAAAATACTATACGGTCTATACAACTGTACTTTACAAATGACCTTAATTTAAATATGTCATTACTTGCTTGTTACAGTGAGTTTTATTTTTACATTACACTAATGAGAATTTTGGGGGGAAATTGTTTTAAAAAATAGTCTTAATTTTCTTTAGCTAATATGTGTTCTTATTTTTATCTTTTTATTTTTGAGGTGAAATATGAGCCAGCATTTTTTTTATGATATTGATCCTTCGGTGATTTTGAAAATCATGTTACATTTGATCAGTGAGTTGTGTCAGGTCAGCGTTGTGTCGAGGGTTTGTGTAATTGTGTCTTATATTGTGGTTGCAGTCTGGGCTGTATTTGCTGTACGTGACACAGCGAGTGCTGCCCTGTTGGGAAACCTCCCCAATGAGGCAGCAATGGCACATCTGCAGGATTTTTGTAAAGACGAGCTTGTCCGGGCTCCTCAAAATCCTCAGGCTGTACGTGAGAGTCAGACACGGGCCTTGTGTGCTGTGGTGATGTGCTGGTTTGGAGCTTGCTGCTGTTCTCATGGCCGTGGCTGTTGGCGTTTTAAGACTAAGCTTCAGCATGGTGTGATGTTTTGCTTTTTTTTTTTTTTTTCACACAGATGTAGACATTTGCTTTCTCTAATTGAATGAGATTAAATCGTGATCTCGATGACTAATTTAAACAAAAACCAAAGTCTTTTGCGGGGTGTAGATTTGTGCTGAGCTTAAACCTGATGGTGATAGATACATGGCGGAATTTTTAGTTCTTGGCACAGCCTCGGTGCAATAATACTTGAATTCTGTGTGTGTGTGTGTGTGTGCAAGGATCGCGGAACGAACACAAAAGAGGGGGGCCCAGGGTGGGAGGTGGGTTTTGGGTAGTGGTTTCAGAACTAATTTTAATATTAGAAACAGTACTAATGGTAGGGCTGTGACGGTTGTACAAGTGTCTTCAATTTCCCGTGATCGCAAACTCCTGGCTGGTCAGGTTTGGTGAGGCTTTCTCCAAACTGGCCAAATACAAACGAGACCGCGATAAATGGTAGATGTTAACAAGAAATGTGGGAACGATTCCTATTTCAAAGAGAGCGCATGCAGACGAGGAGTTAATGCGCCCGCTTGGCGGCGGAACAGTGAACCGTGTCTACAACGGACACTATACCGCCGCGTCGCAACAGGTTGAGTCTGTCTAGTGTCTACACAGGAGTCAGGACATTTGAACTTTGTGACAGTACCTCATAAATAGGATGAGGCAGTTTACTGTCGGGGATTTGTCATGTCGTGTCGTGCCACATCCAGTGATCCACATCACTGATTATAACGAGTTCTTTAGCCTAGCATTTCGTCGTGTCACGCCACGCTGCTCGCGTCCTGTAGACGGGGTGTATTTAACTTTCTTATTTAGGCTACTTTCTTGTTTAACTATATTATTTCTTTGATATTTATTTTAGTGTTTTGCAGGTTGCGTATTCACTGACGCTAAAAGTGCTACAATAAACACGCACGTTTGTTAATAGATGATTGAGCCTCATTTATTATTATTTGTGTTTCAAAATTATATATATATATATATATATATATATAACATTTTTATACATAAATTATATATATAATTAATATTAATTATATATATATCAACACCACGCCACCGGCAGTAGTTGGTCCATTACCACCGCGGTGGTAAAAATCTGCCACCGTCACAGCCCTAACTAATGGTTTTAGTTAGATGCCAGATATATTAGCCTATGTATTTTTAAGCTATAATTCTCCCAAGATTCTGAAAACAAAACGGACAACCAAACAAAATATGTAATTTACTTGAGTTTCTGACAAAATGTTTTATTAATGTTATGAGTCTATTTAAAATATGTATTCATTTTAACGAATTAGCCTAATTATGTAAATAAAAAAATAATTTGAAATAAATAAATGAAGACTTGTTTAGTTTTAAATCTCTTGAATGAATCATTCAGACATCAAATACATTTAACAGTCAATGTTCGCCACCTACTGGCATAATTCAACATATCACCGTCACAGCCCTAACTAATGGTTTTAGTTAGATGCCAGATATATTAGCCTATGTATTTTTAAGCTATAATTCTCCCAAGATTCTGAAAACAAAACAGACAACCAAACAAAATATGTAATTTACTTGAGTTTCTGACAAAAATGTTTTATTAATGTTATGAGTCTATTTAAAATATGTATTCATTTTAACGAATTAGCCTAATTATGTAAATAAAAAAATAATTTGATATGTATTAATTTTAACGAATTAGCCTAATTATGTAAATAAAAAAATAATTTGAAATAAATAAATGAAGACTTGTTTAGTTTTAAATCTCTTGAATGAATCATTCAGACATCAAATACATTTAACAGTCAATGTTCGCCACCTACTGGCATAATGCAACATATACGATCATTATTTGCAGCGTATCATTACTTTCAAAGACCCATTGATCGGGGCTGCCGCAACATCAGAGTCTATATCCGGACTATAAACATTTATCCCAATTCTTTCATTTAGGGGTGTAAGAAAATATTGATACACATGAGTATCGCGATATTTTGTTTGGCGATACTGTATCGATTCTCAAAAACGGAATATCGATATTTAAAAGGAAAAAATCATACAAGATTCATGGTAGTTGTTTCGTTTTTGAATTTATATCCCGACCGCTAGATAGCAGTCTTCATCTCTGAACTTAAACAGTGACAGGAAATACTAGCATTAGGGCATGCCACTTTTAACCACTGAAGGCAAAGGGGCGTATAAGGGGTAGAGAACAACCTACCAATAATGAATGCCATTTTGCCACAGTAATCATAAGAGCTTGGTCTGTATCTGTCGTTAATGTCCCTGCTGCATGGTGGGACATTAACTACCTATTATTCCTAATAGACTGTCAATCAGAGGCAGAGCTTAAAAGAAAAACTGTGCAAATATTGAATGTGCCACTTAAAGGGATCACCCAAAAAATGAACATTCTGTCACTCGTGCAGCACAGATGCAGGAGAAATGTATTTGCACAGGATGCATTAGCAATGAACATGTTTAAAGTTGAATGCATGCAAATGTGAATGCAAGTTACCTCTAATACTGGGATATTAAACCTGCTTGTTCTATTTCTATTGACGAGTCAGAGTAGATGTATTTTAGCATGGCTTTGAAGTGACATACACTGAGAATCGAATTGCATTGTGCATTTTTGAATCACGAGGGGGTTGGTGATATTCAGCCTCATTCCTAGGCCTAATCCTCAAAAAAATGCCTTCATTGTCTGTTATGTTTAACACAGTTGTTCATGAGGTACCAGCAAGAATTGCTTCAGTTCCCACTTGTGTTTTGGAGCTCAGCAGCCCATGTCCCTATTAGGGAACGTCAGCGATTCTGCTGCGTGTTCATAGAAGAGTGTCAGTCCTGCAGGTTTAGAACCAAATGAGGGCAAGTGAATGTGTTTTAGGTGAAGTAGCCCTTTAGCATTGTGATTGAAATATTACATATTTGACTGTGATTTGTGATTGTATTGACAGAGCAAGAACAACCAGTGACTCCTAACTCCATGGCAACCTCAGCAAGAGATCTTCATCCCATAATGCTCTCCCATCCACCCCTGTGTTTTCAGAAGTCGTTTACAGCATGAACTCTTCAAAAAGGTTTCTCCACTCCGAACAAGAGCACACACCAGCACTATATCTGTGGATGAAACTCCATAATATCACGAAGACAGCGCATCGCCATGGTTTGGATTGGTTTTAATTTCATTGGACCTATTTTGTGTCTTTTGTTATTTTGCTTTTTGTTTTGTTGGAAAAAGCAGCAGGATCTGAAGTAGGTCTATGCATTTCTAACGCTGTTCACACATTGTATTTTTAGACAACTTTTTTTCAGAGGCAAAATGAAATGCTCTATTTTTTATATGAAATTACTTGAAATTTCCTATCATATCTACAGGGCTTTATGCTCAAATCCAGTTTGTGAGATTGTTAGATGATGTCTTATGCTGAAGAGTGCTCACATTGTGTACATAGTGTACCTTATGAGATGTAAAAAAAAAAAAAAAAAAAATTTATTGTACAAAATTATGAGCAGACATTGCATTTGGTTGAGACACACAGAACAAAGCAGCAGTGTCTGAGTGTTGAAGAGTCTTACTTTTCTCTATCCAAGAGTAGGATCCATGAATAAAACTGCTATCATTTAGTTTCTGTAACAATGCGTCGTTTCATTCACTTCTTCCAAACAGTCACACACTAGGCTAAAAGATGGCTCATTTAAATGTCTCTGCAGACTGAACTAGTCATACTGTATCATATTACACAGTTTAAATCTCATAAGACATGTCCAGTTAATAATTCACAACAAAATAAGACCATGTTTGAGAGCTTTAAGCATTTTTTGGCTATTTTCATTACAGTTGAGCACATTTACTGTAATACATGCACAGATTATTTTTATTTTTTTTACTATAACCTACAAATTTTGTAAAATACTACTGTGAATAGATTTTATCATAAAAGATACTTATTGTTTAGGAGTGAAATGTACCACCGTTCAAAAATTTGAGGTTGGAAATATTTTTAATGTTTTTGAAATTCGCTTCTGCTCACCAAGGCTACATTTATTTGATTGAAAAAAAAATGTTTTACAAATTGTAAAATGTAATTTATTCCTGTGATGTGAAGATGAATATTCAGCATCATTACTGCAGTCTTCAGTGTCACATGATCCTTCAGAAATCATTCTGATATGCTGCTTTGCTGCTCAAAAAACATTTCTGATTAAAAAACAGTTGTGCTGCCCAATATTTTTGTGGAAACTGTGATACTATTCAAAAATTTGAGGTTGGAAATATTTTTAATGTTTTTGAAATTCGCTTCTGCTCACCAAGGCTACATTTATTTGATTGAAAAAAAAATGTTTTACAAATTGTAAAATGTAATTTATTCCTGTGATGTGAAGATGAATATTCAGCATCATTACTGCAGTCTTCAGTGTCACATGATCCTTCAGAAATCATTCTGATATGCTGCTTTGCTGCTCAAAAAACATTTCTGATTATTATCAATGTTGAAAACAGTTTTTGCGGAAAGTTTTTTTCTGGAATTGGTGGAAACCACAATACATTTCTTTCAGGATTATTTGATGAATAGAAAGCGGTACTAGAGGCAAAGTTGTTTTGAATGAGGAGGACTATCAAATTATATGGATTAGGGCTGCGTTTCAGTCCATGTTTTTATGCCCTTCACTCTCTAACTTCCCTTCATCTCATTTACTCAGATGTACGTCATTGATAAAGTTGCAGGACTGCCCACTACTGCCGGAACCCTTGCAATGGGCTGAACTGGAACATCCTTCACCCTTGACCACTTAGAATCCGCTATGGAGTTGGTTTATTTACTTTTTTTTCCCCTTACAAATTTGTTTGATGCAACATTCTATATGTACTGTATATAGGTATGTTTGGGCTATTGTAAATGTTTAAAAAAAAATTCTATATTATAGAGTTGTTTGGGGATCTGCGATGACGTCATAATCGTGTTGCATTGTGGTCTATGGAGCGGTCTGAAGTGTGCATATGAAGTAGACTCGCTCCCTCGTTCAAGATCAAGAGGTCGGGGGTCTGTCCATATAAACTTCCCTCGTCCACTTCACGAAGTGGAACGCACTTCAAAATGGCAGCGGGGATTCCCCCGAGGGGAAGTGCTTAGGGAAGTTTGCCAGTGCATATCTAAAAGTGCAGTGGAACGCAACCATTGTGTGTATGTGTGAAAATTCACAATATACAATCGTTTGCGCCCTTGAAAAATGCATCATCCCCCCACCCCAGGAGCCACTTTCTTTCAAATTTCTCACAGACTTTAAGGCCGAGTCAAACAGGCCCACTGAGTTAGTAAAGCCATGTTAGTAAAAGTGGCCCTGCCCATTTCGAATGTTTTGGCGTTCCTTTTTCAATGGTGAGTCGAAAGTTCAACTTCTTTGATAATTATTGATGTTCACTCTCCAGACAATCTCTCTGCACTGGTTTGGTTCTGATCAGGCGAAAAACCTAGGACTCGTTCGCAAAAGTAGGTTTTTCAAAAAAAAATCCAAATGCGTGAAAATTTTGCCGTTGAGACTGCAACTAAGGGCTTAGGAGTTATGAGTGATTTCGTACTTTCGATCGCTGTAGCGACCCCGTCAGGCCGATTGGGACGAGCTTTGGTCATGTTGTAGACGTTGTGAGTACTACCATCCCTCCAAGTTTCAAGTCTCGACGACTTACGGTTTGGTCTGCCCGATCAGTTTTAGGTGGAGATTGCTGATCCTTTGCCATTCTAACAAGCTACACGCTTGAACCCCTTAAAATCTTACTAACCCCAAAAGGTGGTGTATGATGTGGACATCTCTTGGTTGTTTTTGTTTGATTCAGCGCTTGATATTTCATTTGTGTCACAAGATTTCAGACAGTCGTGATGGGACATGACTTGACACTGCTAACAAGATCATTTTTGGTGCACCAACAATGGAAAAAAAATGGCCAAACTATGCAGAAGGGGCTTTAAATGTTTTCACTTTCTTCCCACAAGAACGTCACACACAACTGGTCCCAGCAGGTTCAGAGCTGCGTCACATTACAAGAAGTGCTGCTCTGCTGGGAAACTCAGATGGCAGGAAGCCAGAGCCATCCACCGCTGGGGTGGAGAGAACTGAAAGCTGAACTATCAGCATGACTAGCGTTATAAAGAAAAAATGACACGGGACACACGATTTGGCAAAAATAATGCTACAGCTTATTATTTCTGTACCATTTCACTTATTTACAAGCAAAATGTGTATTCAGCGCTTTGTGCAGTTTGACCGCTCAACCATCAGTCCATCCGTGATTTCTCTGGTTCATGTTTAAAACGGTCACACCTGCAGAGTTGCATCAGGCATATCCATATGCAAGCGTGAGGTTTCAGCCGTGCCTCAGAAGAGAAGAGGTGGGATACCGCTGCCAAACAGCAGCCTCCACGAGGGAGGAACCCGCCACTGCACCGAACCCTGCGTCTGAGAGAAAACATCATTAAAAAACAACAACAATGTTCAGTCTAGACAGAAAAACGTTCACTTCTGAAATTCTGTGACCACATACTTTTACGGTAATGTGCCATTCTGGACAACCAGTTTTGAAAGCGCAGTTTCAAATCATTATTCACACTTACAGGTTTTTCCAGCAGATGGAGCCAGTCGTTGAGATGGTTAACGAGAGCAAACGCGTCAGGGATGTTGTCTCCTTCTGAGCAGAAGATCAGCATTACTGCCATAGAGATGTCCTCTGTGCAGCTGGACCAGACAAAAAACCTCCATTGGCCAGATTCACAATTATAGATTTGACAGAATTGTTTGATTTATGCCGGTTTTTACCAGTCTGTGTAAAGGGCTTTGGTCACTCCTCCTCCGGGAATGTAGAGCCGCTGCTCTGAGTCAGAGATCCCGGGAAACGCACTGATCCTCTCCATCTCCCTCCAGCCCAGCTCCTCCACCCTCGGAGCCTCCTCCTTCTGCAGAGACGGGGTCAGCAGGTACCGCAGAGGAGTGCTGCGCAAACAGTAACATTTGAATACTAGTAACCTGTGTTGGGCAAAGTTACTTTTTAAAAGTAATGCATTAGAATATTGCGTTACTCCCTAAAAAAATAACTTTTTGTCCCCTGGGCTGGGCTTGTAGATTTGTTTTTTTATAAAAAAAATAATAATAATTTAAGTTATATTTTTGGCAACTGTAAAGGCCCTTTTTACACCTAAAGTGAAATTACTAAGCCTCAGGCTGAAGGAAGTGCCTCTTCACCTCACTCCTGATTTCACCAAAAGAGAGGTGCCAGTGAATAAATGGGAAAACAAAGTAACCTGCATTACTTAGTTGTAAATTTAAAAGTAATGCATGATTTTTAGTGGACATATGAAGTTCTTCAAGTTCACACAGGTGTCCTAACAGAGGAACCACCGGTGCAAAGAATCACATCAGTTATCAACATCATCCACTTAGGTGCGAAAGTGGCACAACACTTTTTGATTTTGATTAGAAAATTGTTTTATGCTTTAAAACATATTTACATTAAATGTATCGATTGAAAAATGTGCTCCCCATTGGCATTTATACAATTTTATGTGTGGCATAAATACATGGCATTAATTTACATGTGTCTTCTATCTTCTCTGTCCTCAGTGTTTGATTACCCATGAAGCTGTTGGTCGTCTCTGTGATACGCGTGACTGCTGGACAGCAGCACACTCCTGAGGAATCCACTGCTCTTGATCCAAGAAACCATCAGCTTTCGGAATGATCTGACCTTTGTCTAAGAAGAGCAGTAAATTGCAAAGAGTCATGTGCAACTGAAATAAAGAAACTGTTTAAGTGGGCAACTGACATAACGGCCGACATTTGGATTTTTTTAAATAATCATCGCAGACCGATAAGCATCAGAAGCAGCTTTTATTTTGACTGCACCAGGACTTTTTTTTGTTTTTTGTTTTTTTCTGAGCATGCACAGGAGCTCTGGTTCTCAATTGGCATTAGCTTTTTATTTTTTGTTTAGCCATTCTGTCTAATAAATTATTTGACAAATAAATTATTAGAAATAAATGTTAAACAAATTAAGTAAATGGTATATGAAAAAGTATTTCAAGTATTTTTTTTTTATCAAGTACATGTATTTTTCATATTGATTCATTTTCAAAATCAGATTAAAATTAATTTCAGTAAATATTATGTAAAAATAAATTTAATTGCAGCATGATAATTACTATCTTTTAATGAAATTGTCTGTTTATCGCCTTTATATCAGCCACCCGAGACAGGGGTTTTCAAACTGGGGACCAGGGACCGAGGAAAAATTTTTTAGAAAAACAGTGTAAAAATTTTTTACATGTAAATTAATAATAAATATGATTAACTACATTCAATTAATTACAATTAAAATGGTTTAAATAAATAATGTGTACATTTGATTTAAACAAATAATTGGTTAAAATTGATTAAAATAATTAATAGAATTTGATAAAATAAATTTAAATTAAAAAATGTGATTTAAACAACACATCTAACAGTAAAGTACTATAGCGAGTAAAAAAACAACAACATTAAAAACTAAATATTTCCAAATACTATTTTACACATGCTTATATTCATTTTTCATAGTATTAACGGGGTCTTTATACATGAAAAAAATATATAGCTGCCTTTTAAATT